GCGCTGTGATGATGTCAAATGCGCGCTTTCGTCGAGCGCGATTTTGTCCTCCGCGGTTTTGACGGGTCACGACATATAATTCTTACTTTACTCAAAAAGTGAACTCTACTCACGGGGAGAAAGCCTAAAAGGCCATTAACTTGGTTTAAACAAGGTTCAAATTGCCCCCATTAAAAATCAACCTCTGCTCTAGAGGCAGTTAGACAGAAAGCTAAAGTTTGCAAAAACCCAGTATTCTCCATTTTGTTGTATTAGTTAGCTTACTTTTGGAGATGATTTCAGTTCAAGAGAAAAAGCTTCTGAAAAAAATTCTTTTCTTGCTTGCTTTGTTCCTCTTCAGTTGGAGTTGAGGTCAATTTTTTTAAAGGGTTTATAGATTGGAAAACAGAGGCAGAGACTTTATTTTTAGCACCTAAATGGGAAGGGAAGATCAAAAAATCTGTCCCTCCCAGCTTGTTTTGTTTTGTTTATTGGAAAAAAAATTGTGGCTTTCTGGGGAAGGGAGGGGTTTAAGTAAGAGAAATATTTGGGGAAGCTCATGCTAAAGCTGCCCCTTTTTTATTCAGAGACTGGCTACCCAAAGACTAACAAGAGGCAGGAGAGCTTTTCAGCTTCCCAATGGTCAGCTGATTGGTGCAGGAAACTCTAAAAGAAGCTGCCAGTTCGAATCCTCAAGGTTCTGAAAATGGCAGCTGCTTCTAGGAGGCATGGGAAGCAGCCCTGAGCACCATGAGTCCCTTCTGGGTGGGATGGGGGAAGTGAGGTGATGTGTTGCAGCAAGTGGCTTGTCATGAATGACTGCAGGGGGATTGCAGCTGTCATAACTTTGAAACAGGTCGTATGTAGTTTCGGGATGCGTAACTTTGAATGCCTACTTAAATGGTATATCGTTTCTTGGGGATTACCTGTAACTAAGTTCTATGCCATATAGGAGTTTATAGGTGATGACCAACATCTTGAATCACAACTTGAAAGAAACTGGCAACCAATGCAGCTAATGAAACAGAGCTGTTATACAAGCATACCAAGGCATGCCTATCACTAATATTGCCACATTCTGGACTAGTTAAAGCTTCCAGGTGGTCTTCAAGGATTTCTCCCTTACATAATACATCACATAGTCAAGCCATAATGTAACAGGGGCATGAGTGACTGTTCTGACCCCCCTCGTCCTACACCAAAGCACACCGAGACAAAGATACTTCAAGGATTTATTAACACACAGACTAGACCTTGGCAGCAATCCAGCACAGACTAGACGTTGGCAGCAATCCAGCACAGACTAACCTTGGCAGCAATCCAGCCTGCCAAGCTAGCCATGAGAGTTCTCCAGCTCTAGTAAACACATTGATTCCTGTGAGGAGCGTGTGCAAAGCCATTCCTTTTATAGTCTTGAGAGGAGCCTAATTACCACCAGCTGAGTTCATTTATCTCCTGTAACTGCGAACTGTATGCCTATTAGCCCTCAGTTGCCGGGCATCCAGGACCAACTCCCTTGTCTCCTCCCCACTGCTCCAATGCATGATGTCAGGATCACACTGCCTTGTCTCCTCCCCACTGCTTCAAGGCTCAGGCGCCTCCTGGTGGCCAACCAGCCTCTATGCGCCCTGCTCGGAGTCGGAACCCTGTCCAGGGTCCTCCACATTCTCCAGAGCAGACTCATAGGGCCCCTCGCTGTCGGAGTCTGGTGGCAGCTCCAACAGCTCCTGCTGGGCCACAACAAGTGATTATCTGAAGGATCCCTGGATTTAGTGCGCAGTTGGTGCACCAGATTGAATTGTTTGGAGTCCTTCATGACCACATGTGATTTCTGCATGCTCTTTAAGCAGGAGCTGTTCCTCCCCATCCAAATTTACACAGCTTCCATGCACTTTGGACCAAACTGTGACAGTCTTGGGTGGCTGGCCTGAGATCAAAGATTTAATTGGGTATCATTTATTTTTCCAGTGTTACGTTCATATCAAAAATGGTGTGAAATAGAATGGTTTAAAAACTAGTGACTGATCAAAAGTTAGCTTATCTAGCTTAATGTGAACTTGAATCTAGGTCTCTGCCTAGCACTTTAGTCTATTCATGTACTGGTTCTTAATATTTCTTTCGGGGACAAAAGTTAACAAATTGCTAGACAATGTTTTATTTGCCACTGAATAGATACAATAATATGCAAGTAATCTTTCTTAAAAACCACTTAGGAACTCCTGTAAAAACATTTTTGTACTGAAATAACTTATTTCTTCTTGACAGAAGAGTAGCAGCTCAGAATCATTGAGTGACAAAGGTTCTACTGAATTGAAGAAAAGTTTTGATGCAGTAGTTTTTGATGTTCTGAAAGTTACACCTGAAGAATATGCAGTAAGTAATTAACTAATGTTCCTAATCTAATAATCCTTTTGCCCTACTTTTAGCAAATTGTAGCGTTTTTTTTTTTTCAAGAGAGTTAAAAGAGGGTTTCAGATACTTCAGAGGAATGAAGAGTCTTACAGAGGTCTCCTGTACACTCCATTAAGAGACACTGTTAGAAATACTTTATATGTATGGGAAGAACATTTTCTCTCTTTATCAGTGCTGTCCTCTCTCACAATTGACTATTAGCTAGAATTAAAATTAATACAGACTTTCAAATCAAAACTAAAACTATTGTTATTAACTACTTTAAGAATATCAGCATTACTATATACCCCCCTTTTTTAAAAGAAAATTACTTGTATCCAGACTTACATAAGCAGAATGTTCACCATTCTTCTCCAAAAGTATTTTTGAGATTCAAAGAGCATTCTGAATGGAATGGAAAGAATGGAAATCCTTTTACATTAGCCTGGGTGCTAGCAATTCTTGTACAGATTTTGCTGTGTTGAGAATTGGGTAAAAATAAATTCCTAATTCTCAATCTCTACCATTTTAATTGGTCTTGTGCATTATTTGTAGCATTGTATTTAAATAATGTTATATTTTTACCTTGGTGAAAAGAAAAATAAAGAATGTGTGGCCTTTAGAGTTTGTTTTTTGAACTACAAGTCAAGCTTCCTTTTTTAGTCTTTTACCACAGAGAATCCTTATTTTTAAGGGCTCTTAAAATTTAAAATATTGCAGGAAAATGACTGTAAGAATTCTCTCTTATGCATGTGAGAATTTAATTCCTTCAGCACAGAATTTTGTGGCTGAAATCAGCTATGCTTCAAAATAATGAATACATTCATAATTGCTTCCATTTATTTATGAACATATTTATTACTGAGCAATGTCTAAAGCATTCAGAACACAAGATAAGTGTCATAAACTGGAGCTTAGCTTGACCTTTTATGGTAGTTACCTACAAATAAAAGAATATGTACCAAAAGGAACTATTCGTGATCAGATTCATTTACTTGGGGTGAAGCCCATCACAATTCCATTCCCAGAGTGATTATTCGGCAAAACTAATTCCTCATGAAGTTTCAGACACACAAACCGGAAGTCAGAAAATGGGCCGTTTCCAGCCTCGGGGGGGGGGGCTGTTTTCACCCTCCCCAGGCTCCTAGAAAGCCGTCATGTGCACATGCATGGGGGCATGGGGCGGGGGGCTTTGTTATGGTGGGGGGCACACAAGTGTACGCAAACACACGAGGTGAAAAAGGTTCGCCATCACTGCCCTAGAATAATTGTTATCACTGATATAGGTAAAGAAACATCATTTTGCTAGGAATTGTTCTGGCATTAAATAATCAAATGAACCGAGTTGTAAAATAAGGAACATAATTTTAATTTTCTTATAACTTTGATTTAAGGGCCAGATTACGCTCATGGATATTCCTGTATTTAAAGCTATTCAACCAGAGGTGAGTTTTTCATAGAAAACTTAAAATAATTTGATAGAAAACAAGTTCGTTTTATTATGATAATTTCCATATTTCATTTACTTTTAATATACAGTAGATGCCTATAGAATGTACTTTCCTTTTGCTTTAATAGCTTTAATGATTGACATCTGAATGGCTAGATAAGTAAAACATATAATGTAATAATTAAATGTATTTTTGCTGTTTAAATATTTTTATAGATTCCATTAGGTTGGAGGCAATAGTATAGAAAATACTAGTATGACATACTCCAGAAATTAATTTTAAATACGCACTGATTATAGCAATAATTAAAAAAAGAATAAAGAATGAAAATAAGGATATAAAAAGAAAAAAGAAATAGAGATACTCCTCAACTTACAATCACAACTGAACCCAGTATTTATGTTGCTAAGTGAGAGGTTTGGTGAGTTTTGCCACATTTTATGACTTTTCTTGCCCCACTTGTTAAGTGAATCAGTGCAGTTGTTAAATTAGTAACCCGGTTGTTAAGTGAATCTGGTTTCCCCATTGACTTTGCTGTTCAGAATGTTGCAAATAGTGATCATATGACCCATGGACCCTGCAACAGCCATAAATGTAAGTCAGTTGTCAAGCATCCAAATGTAAACACATCACCATGAGGATGCTGCAACAGTCATAAGTCTGAAAAATGGTCATAAATCACTTTTTTCAGTGTTGTAACTTCAAGCGGTCACTAAATTAAACTATTGTAAGTTGAGGACTACATGTATAAAAACGTAATAATCTCCTTGGACTCAATAAATATAAATTTAAATAACTGATCACTTTCTCTTAAAATACAACAATTGTTTATCCCATATCCCATCGCTTATCTATAGACAAATTCTTCAAACGTCATTCTTCACTTCTGATTAGCAAAAGTCCACTAAAGGTTATAAGAAATAACATCTATATCCAGCCTAATCGCCCTTTTGCCATTTATTCCCAAAGCTGCAAAATCCTCAAAGTCATACTTGAAGTATAGAAGGAAACTTAGCCAGAGAATGCCATCAAACGTCTTATTCCCAAGGGTCTTAATATTTAAAAAGCTGTTCTACTACTACCAATTTCAGCTGTAATGCCATTCCTCATTCCTTTAGTGACATCTAGCATGCCAAGTCCTTAGTTTAACTATGGTGTCGGATCTTTTGATTTTTTGTTTGATTGTTTATTGGACACAGATGTTTTCTTTTTTGGTTGTGAGCCTCCCAGAGTTTGGTACAAGATGGGCAGTTTCTCATAGTATTATTGTTTTGTTTTGTGAACTGCCCAAAGTTGCTGGAGGTCAGGCAATATAAAAAAGTTGACACATAATTGTGGGTAAGAGTAAATAATTTTTCAAGTAAACAACATTTGCTATTCTTTACAATATAAATACATGCATATACATAATGATGTTCTCTTGCAGCATAAAAAGCACTCAGAACTCCAAAAGAATAAGATATAGTTAGAAAAAGAAATTATACAACAGAAAGAAAAGGAGAATCTAGACTTCATTTAAATCAATACCACAATACCACTCATCAAACCTTTACATACTAGTATTTAGTATTTTTAGTATTTTATTTGGGGGGACTCAGGGCGGCTTACAATCATTAGGGAGGGGGTGCAATTCAAAACAAACAATATGTGAACAAAATAAATAAAGTAATAAAAACAGTAAACAGTAAAGTAATATCACATACCTTGATAACACCCATTCCTTGATTCATGCAGAAACATCTATCACTAAAATCACATTCTTTCCTATGTTTTATTAATCCCATTTCTCTAGTGATGTAAAAAAAAAGGCAAGATCACTGATAAGACTTTTATGCCAGTTTTCCTAAGAGTTGATCTTAGGGAGTGATTTTAGACTGAAAGTCGATATTATGTAAAAAGCAAATCTCATAATTTATTTAAAAAAAATTGAATCCAATCTTCTTCAGAATCGTTTCATATAAAATGATGTGATGTAAACTAAAGAACACAATTCTTTTAGGATTTATCTGCAACAAAGTTTGCAGTCTAGCATGTTTATCTTTATATTTTTGGGAGAAATAAGTCAAACTAGAAAAGTTAACATTGAGAAGAAGTTTATTTTTTTAATGTAAGGTGAGAAACACTGAGTGTCTTAATATAAAAACAAAAAATGAGAAATTGTTTACCAATGTGGCATTTTATCCATAGCTATTTAAATTACAAGGTGACTTACAACTTCAAAGGACCTTCTTCATAGCAATCACTTATTTTGTTGTCTGCATATGGCAAGAAAATATATACCACCTTAATGATGCTGATCACTTTTCAAGACACCCAGAGTGGATCTGAGCTTGTTTTTGACATGTTTCTGACATGTTTCTTGTTGCAACCCAGGTGAAAACTGGGGATTGGGGGGGAGCTCCAAGTAGTTTCTTTTCTTTTTCTGTGGCGTTGGAGGATTAGGTAATTTTTCACTGCTCCAAGATTATCTCTCCAACATAGAGTGAGACAGTTTTCAGCCTCCTATTCCTGATACCCAACATGACATTTTGCCATGTCCTCCACTTAAACCATTATAGCAATATGCAATTGTGGTTTTAGCTCCTGGAAAAAGTGATTATAAAATAGCTGGCATGCTGTCTTTTCACAATCACAATTAACATTAGTATTTTTTAACCAACCAAGCAATGGTGGTTTGGAAAAATGCTGTCCATTTATATCAATTGCTTACCATTTTTAGAAACGCCAGACGAATTGATATAGTATATTCTAGAAAAGTGAATTGGGAATGATGGCAGTGAAGGCGTTTGTTCTTGCAGTAGGACCAGCTTGCCTATGAACCCCATTGAATGTCTTTTTTGCTCTTTCCTATTGGTCAGTTGAAGAGAGAACACAAATTGATTCTTACTTTCCCTGCTTCTTTTCTTCATTCAAAGATCTGCTGAAGTGAAGATTATTGTTCCAAAATATTTGTATTGGGGTTTTTAAATAATGTCATTTGGTAATGCCATTATCTGATATGCATGAACATAACTTTGTAGCTTGCTTTCTGCAATTCTCCTGATTTTTAAGTTCAAGGTATTGAATTGAGCCATTTTCCAAAATTAATTCAGACTATAAGCAAATAATGTAGTTCCCCATTGAAAGCTACTGGTAAACAATGCAAATAATTAAAATAATTTCTTTAGAATGTTGCTTGTTTATTCAATTGATTTATACAGCTATTCATCTTGAGATTAGTATGTTAAAAAACTGAATTTATCCTTGCTGTACATCTAATATAAAATCTCGCCTATAGAAACTCTCTATCAATTATTTGAGAGCAGAAAGAACAGTATCTTTCAGATTTGCAGATACTTAAAGTTATTATAAAATCGGATATCAAAATTTCTTGACATAAGACAAATATTAAAAAAAAGTTTTTGCTAAAACATAAACATGTTACCATATTTTGAATTCTTGTTGGTTTTGGGATCCAGCCTTCGATTCTCAAACCTAGTACTGCACACAATTGCCTTTTACCACAATAAAAGCAGATTATTTTGTGTAATGGAATTGTAACTTTTAGATGCTATACCAGGACAATTCTAATTTGACATTCAAACTTTTCATGGATACATCTGATCTGATAACTTTCTCACATAAGATAAGTCTTTTTACATGCTCTGCCCTTCAGGAGATAATAAAAATATAGGTTACTTAAAATAATACAGGTAATCTTCAACTTGTGATCGTAATTGAGCCCAAAATTTCCATTGCTAACCAAGACAATTGTTAAGGTGAGTTTTATCTCATTTTACAACCCTTGTTACCACAGTTGTTCAGTGAATCATTGAAATTATTAGCAACCTAGTTGTTAAGTGAGCTTGACTTTACTTGTCAGAAAGGTGCAACAGGTGAACACAGGACCTTGGGATACTGCAACCGTCATAAATGTCAGTTGTCAAGCATCTGAATTTTGATCACATGACAGTGGGGATGTTGCAGTGGTCATAAGTGTGGGAAAAGGTCAAAGGTCTTTTTTTTTCAGTTCCATTACTTCCAACAATCACTAAACGAATGGTTATAAGTTGAAGACTACCTGTAATGTACTTCAGTATTTAAGTATTGGCAGATAAACAGTTCTTCAACAAGCTTCTGTCTTCTTTCAGTGATCTTACTCTCTTCTTGCAGTTCTTCAAGATTTCCCCTCCATTCTCTCCTTATTTTATCTTGTCCTTCCTAATTTGAAGAGTGTTTCCAGTTCTGGATTGCAGACAAACTCTAAATCATTCAGGCATTATGAATCTGGAGCACTGATCAGGTGAGCACACTGGATAACTCCCGACTCAGTGTTGCTCCAGTGATGTTTGAAGTCCTTTGAAGTTATTCATGTGTTCAGCACAAAGGAGAGCAGTTTCATTATGTTTCACCTGAGCTACAGACCGTTCTGTGCAATAATCTGTGCTAAATTCATGAATGCTGCAGGAAAGCCAGCATCATTTCAATGACATTGATAAGGGATGATTCTGCAATGGAGTCCCTATAGGTAAATACTCCAGTTTACATAATGTCTGAATGGGGCTATCTTTACACAATTAATATGTTACTGAAAACTCCCTTTTTAAAAAAGTCAGAAAGTCATGAGAATGAGAAGACAAGGTTCATACAGAATGCAACAATTTGTGGCTTGCTATAAAGGAATCAAGCTAATAGTATTGCATATTTACTAACATAGTTTGCCTGAATATATTAGAGAATAGTACTTATTTCTGGTTTTGTAACTTGAATGGAAATGTATACAATTAGACAAAACATTAAAAAGGATATACAAGGTAATTCAGATTTCACGCTTTCGTTTATATACTTATCTCAGTTTAGAATACTATTCAACAGGAATTGCAAATGAAATGCTTCTAAAGATTCAGAGATTCACACATTGCTCAAGACATGCATTGTCCAAATTATGTTAGAATTCATAGTACTTTTATAAAACCATACTCAGAATTAATAATTATACCAAGCACATCAGCCTTACCAGGATGTGTATAAGGAGAAATATAAATAGAATTTTTATTAATAAAAGGAAAAATCTTGTTTTGTTTTGCAGTCTGAACACTGATGTTAAATTATCTTTAATTGTTCATCTAGGAACTGTCAAGTTGTGGTTGGAATAAAAAGGAAAAATATAGTTCAGCACCAAACGCCGTTGCTTTTACAAGAAGATTCAACCATGTAAGTTTTGAGACTAACTGTATACACCATAATTAAGTGGCATAATTAAAAAAACCGTATGATCTTTTTTGTTGTTAAAATCTTAATTTCTGTTAAAGGCAGGGATGTCTCAATACTCTCCTCTCCCACCTCTGCCCCAGCCCTCAATGAGCAAAAATAAGAATAAACATCTCCATCTATCTGAATAAATGGAATGAATCTATGCTAATTGAATTCAAACAAGTGAAGTATTCACTCTAATGGAGTAATTTGCATCTTTTAAAGTGACTAAGTGATTTTATAATGTGAAAAATTTTGATTGATTATTTCAGTATTTACACTTCCCTTTTGTGTATATTTTAAAGTAGACCTTTTGTTTTCAGGTAAGCTTTTGGGTAGTTAGAGAGATTCTTCATGCACAGACGTTGAAAATAAGAGCTGAAGTCCTAAGCCACTATATCAAAACTGCTAAGGTAAGAAAATGTTTTTGAAAACAGTTTTAACTTTAAAACTCCATTTCAAAAACCTATTACAATTTTGGTTCCATTTACTTATGATGTGAGAAATTTATTATTGTTGATCAGTTATAGAAATTACAACGTATGGAAATGATTCTTCATTAATGTTTGAAAGTTGCAGAAGTAGATTATGATATTGCTAGTGAAACTGTTCTTCTGAACCTGGCAATGTGTACCATATTTTTCGGAGTATAAGACGCACCAGGATTTTGAAGAGGCAATTTAAAAAAAAAAGTTTTTGCACCCTGCAGACCTCCCAAAAATGGCCTGTTTTTCACAAAAACGGGCCCTTTTTTAAAAAAAAAACAGCCCGTTTTTTCGCTCATTTCTGCCCTCCCCATCCCCCAGGAGCACTCTGAAAGCCTCCTAAAGGCTATGCACAGCCATTTGGGTGAAAGGGGCGGAGTTTCAGGAAGCAAAAAAAAATGCTGTATTCAGATGCACCCAGATTTTCACCCTCTTTTTTGAGGGAAAAGGGTGCGCCTTATACTCCAAAAAATATGGTACGTTGAATCAATCACAAATTAATTACCTTTGTAAATAAATATAGGTTAAAAAGTGCACAACGTTTTCTGGCTCTTTATCTTTTGAATAATGTATTAAAAGTTTTGATTTACTGGTTGCCTGTTTCTCTTGAGCACATAGTTGTAGCACATTATTGATAAAGTCATGAACAATATAACATTTGCTCATATCAGTCACCAAAATAATTTTTTATTTTACTTGGTTTTATACTTTCATTTGCTGGAATTTTAAAATTATTTTCTATTTACAATAGTTTCAGATTTAGATATTTTTATCAGAGTTCTAATAGAAATATGTAATTTTAATTGTAGTAATATGTATATTTTATCAATAGACACAATTTGGTGGAGATGTTAAACTCTGAACCATAGATAAGTCAATAGATGGACTATGACAGGCACATGCTTCTGCTCTATACTATATTTCTGTGTTAATCCCCCCCCCCAGTTTCTCTGTTCTACTAACCTCAATTTTATACTTAAGAAGTATAAAAGTGTGCTGCTGATCATTTAACCTAGTTAAAGAAATGGTAGCTGTTCGTTTTACCCCAGGGCAAGCCAGGTTACATACAAAAATCACATTTAGATAGCTAGAGGGGCATAAACAGAATCTGGACTTCTCCAGACCCAAGACCCTCAAATGTTTTGGGAATCCTTGTGATAGAATGGGTTGCGGCAAAAGGATGAGGGGAGAGGAAGTGATTGTTGAATAATTAATAGAGTTGCTTTCTGTTCCACTCTCAATGTTTCTTTTGTACTTCTTTCTCCCCTCTATCAGAAAAATATATCAGCAGATTCTCTCAATCCTCAAAAGAATATTATTTATAGAACCTAAGGTCAGGCAAAGAGAGAAAGCATTTGAAAGTTTCTGCTTGGATTCAACCTAATCTAGGTTGTATAGAACAGAATAGTTGTGAAGCTTTATAATTCAGTTCAGTTTTATAATTCTTTGGCTGTTTTATTTTGGCTGAATTATCGGTTATCATTTGGTTGTATCCATTATTTATTGCGCTGCATTCTTAGAAAATTGTTCAGAGGTTTATGATTTAATACTAGTAAATAATTACCTGATATTGAACTTCCATTTCTATTCTTGTCTTCAGAAACTTTATGAACTAAATAATTTACATGCTCTTATGGCTGTGATTTCTGGATTGCAAAGTGCCCCCATCTTCAGGTTGACTAAAACATGGGCGGTGAGTAAATTGCATTAAATAATTGCTTTTTTATTAATAAATAACAAAACATTAATTATAAAAGGAGCAGGCCTAGCCAATGAATTCTACAGGCATCTTTGGTATAAAGAAGCATTGTCTGTTCTTATAAAATTCTTCAAAGCTTTAAAAAGCCTCTTTTGTTTATTCAATATAAGAAAACTATCCAGGTCACTTTCTTGATTTGCTATTTGTTTAACCCTTTTAATTATTGCAACATTAACTAGTTTCTTTTTTATATCCACTATAGCATCTTTTTCATATTATTCTTGTAGCCTGTTATTTTTAATTCCAATTTCAAATCAGTCTCCATTTTGTCAGGTAAAACTTATTCCTCTTCCATAACATCTAGATAGTCATTCTATAGAGGCAAACACTTTTAAAGTTAACTAGGTTTAGTGTTCAAAAATAACCTTCAGTATATTAGAATATTTTGCTACATCCCAAATCCAGTTTCAGTGTTCTCCTTCAATTGAAATATTTAGTTATCTGTAGTGTCCAATTCTTAAGTTACCATACACATTTTTTTAGGATTCAAAACAAAAATATTTTTCCATGGGAAAAATTCTTTATAATTTATTTCAAATTAATCTGGACCCTTAAATACATTTGTAACTTTCTAAAGTCAAAATTTTAATCACTGTATATTAAACATAATAATAAATTTTAAAGTCCTTAAGCTTGTATTTAAAGTTTTTTTGCTGAGGACTGAAGAAACTCATCAGGTATTGGAAAACCTGTTGATCCAAAGGTTTCTAGTGTCTGAACAGAGTTACCAAACAGTTTGCAAAAGTGATTAGAAAAAGAAGTATGTAAATTCAAGATTCTTTGAAAGGCACCAACTGTGGTTTGAGGAAGATGTTTATTCTCTTGTCTCCCTGAACTCTAAATTTGCCAGAAACTGCTGGCTTGCAGTTTGCTTGAGAGGAGCAACTGTCTGGAGCACTTATAGATGATCCTTGTCCAGAGATAAGTTATCTAAGAGCCAGTCTGCTTGCTGATTTTTCATACAGCTAAGGTTGTTGGTTCCATTCTTCACAGAGTCATCTTGAAGCCACCATTTCTTCCCCAGAAATCCTGCAGGAAAATTACAAGTGGTACTTGTTTCCTGAGATGGTCAGGAACTAAAGGCTTGAAAGGGTAGTGGTCCTTAGTGAATGGTTCTGCTGCTTATCTGAGGCATGATTTCAGCCTCAAATAAATATTCCATTCTTTCAAAGGCCTCTAGCACTTAGATGATACCAATAACAATGGTGGTGCTGTTGATAGTCTGCAGTACTGCAGACTAATTCTGCTGACTTCCAGCAGTTCAGTCCTGAAGGTTGATTCAGCTGAGGTTGATAAAATGAGGACCCAGATTGTTGGGGGCAATATACAGACTCCCTAAATCCACTTAGGGAGTGCTGTAAAGAATTATGAAGCAGTATATAAGTCTAAGTACCATTGCTATTTCTATCTGGAGAAAAACAAGGCTATCCTTCTGAAAATATGTTTTGAAAGATTGGAATATTTTCTGAAATATATGAAAAGCAGTGCAGAGGACAATAAAAAGAAGAGATAATTGTTAGATAATTGTTTATTAGATAATTCACATGGCTTCCTTCTACCTTTTCTTCAGTTAGGAGTCTTCATTAGGTTCTGATATATTCAGTATCTAGGGCAGTAATTTTTCCTCCCTGAACTTTGATGCATTATCTAATGGCAGTTTATGATTTTTGACTTTGAAGTATGCACTGTATTTTGACTACTTTGTTCAGAGAGAATGGCAGAAAAGAAACATGGACAAATTTTTATATCTATTGCTACTTTTTAAACTTATTTTAAAAATCACCATCAAAATACTAGGGATTTAATATGAAGGGTAATTTGGCCTTGATGTTTTGTTTTTTTAATAGCTTCAATGTCTGTTTTAAATGTTTTCTTGTTGGTCAATTGTAGGCTTTTCAGCGTCTCATTTTGTTATATAAAATAACTATTAAATACGTAAATATAAAAGGATAGTTTTTACAGTAATAGTTTTCTGTTCTTTATTTTCCCAAAAGTTACTGAGCCGAAAAGACAAAGCTTCATTTGACAAGCTGGAATACATAATGAGCAAAGAAGACAATTATAAAAGACTTCGAGATTATATTAGTAGCTTGAAGATGACTCCTTGTATTCCTTATTTCGGTAAGATAAATACTTTAATTTTTTTAGTTAATCTGTTAAAATACTGATATTGGCTGCAGTCTGTGAACTTAATAGCTGTTTCTGTTTGAAGAGAGTATCTTGTGACTTAAGTTTAAATTTAAATCATTCTCTTTCCAATATAAGATAACATAATAAAGCTTGTGTTGCAAAGCTGCTTTAGTCAGACATTTGACCCTTGACCAGCCTACAAAGGCTGATGATGATCACACTCTACTATCTGCTTGAGGGCTAAGGCAGCCTTGCCAGCTGAGGTTTTCTTGGTTATTTACAGAATCTGTGTTCTCAAACATAGTGCTTTGAGTTGTGATTGCAAATAACGTCTAGATTTCATAACTATCAAATTCGTATATATCATCTGTTTTAAAATATAAATTATGTGCAAAATACTTTTTATTTTGAAGAATTGGACATTACAATGGGCATGCTAAGAATTCAGGAGTAATATTTGAATTTTTATTTAATTTCAGCACTTGAAAAAGAAAAAAAAGAGGTCAATTCACCTCTTCCCTCTTGTTGTCATTATCATTCCTGCTATTATCTTAAGAGTCATTGATTATTTTAAAAGAGCCCAGTTGATTACTTCATTTTAGAAATTTCATGTTGCTTCCATATGAGAGAGAGAGAGAGAGAGAGAGAGAGAGTGAGAGTGAGTGAGAGAGAGTGAGAGAGAGAGAGTGAGAGAGTGAGAGTGTGTTTTTGTCCTCTGCAACAGTCTGGGCATATGGAGTTACATTTTTGAATAGTTCTTCCTTCCTAGTTACAAGGATAGCCACAAATTAATTGGAGTAATAGCCAATAGCCATGAAATTTATTGATCTTTGCCCTTGAAAGGTGTGTTTTGCTACAATTGGACTTTAGCAGGGCACTACAAGTCAAGGAATACATTGGCACATCTTGAAAAATCTTTCAGTAAATATGGAAAATGCAAAACGTATTTGGGATGTACACAGTGTTTCAAATTCAAAATATTGCTATTGGAGGCAGTTCTTGCCTCCAATAGCAATGTTTTTCTACAGTGCTGAGCATATATTTACGCTACTGATGAACAAGTAAATGGATTTGTCAAACATGAAAATAAAGATAGAAAAGTATTACTATATTACTATTGTGTATTTTAGGTAATTGAATATAATATAGTAATTAATCTATAGATTTATTATAGTATTGTGTAAAGACCATTCAATCACATATTGGCCTCAGTTGCTTCATTCAAGTAGATACATTGCTTTATTCAATCTAGGGATAGTTCACTCTAAATATGATCTGGAAAACTTTTCAATAGATACCAAAAAAGGACAGCAAAAAAAGATTAGAGATAAGTTTAAATGGCATTCAGAAATACATTACCAAATTGTGCATATAAAAATTGGATGAATTCTTCTGAATTTCTTACTAAGGAGACATTTTCCAGTAATTCTCAAATGAAAGATATGCCCTTAGCACTAATAGTAAGATTTCTACTAACACCCTCATTTACGCCTTTCTTTAAGATTTAAATGAAACTTGGTAAGCCATGTAGTCTGCAGACTGCCAGAGAGATGACTATATAATGAAAGGTATCCACACAAAATCCCTAAACAAGTAACATTTTAACATGATTTCCAAAGCAAATTCAATGGGAATTGCTAGAAAAAATTAGAATTTGTTGGCCATGAACTAGAAAAGATAGAGGACAGAAGGAAGGAAAGCGATCATAGAGTATTAGTGAGTGAGGGTATTTATTTATATAGCTGCTCTAAACATAAAAATCTCCCACTGTTACTTTTATGACCTGAGAATTGGGAGAGGGTCTCTTCTGAGCTTCTTGTTCTGCCCACCTTCAGCTGTGGACTATGCTGTCTTATCTGAATGTTTCCTAAGTAGTATACCATTATACAATCAGGATGACTTTGCAGGCTCCATATTCACAGTACTGAATTCCCAGGCCAGAAGACAAAAGCATGTTTTCAGGCTCTTTAGGAAGACCAGCAGATTGAGGCCAGCCTGCCCTCAAGGAAAATGATGTTCCAAAGGGTGGGTGCCAGGGCTGAAAAGACTTTCCTCTTGGGTCCTGCCAGGTAAGATAATTTTTTCTTCATGGATGGGACCCAGATTAAGGAGAGGAATAGAGTGGAGAGGAATGGAATAGAATCTTTATTGCCACTTTAAATGTACACTAATTAGAATACATTAAAATGAAATTTCATTGCGTTCAGCTCTCAAAAGATAACCATTAGGCATATACTCACACACCCATATATATGACACAGAGAAACACCACAATCTAGTTTGAATGTATACATAGACATGGCGAAAAAAAGAATCCTGCGAATTCACAAGGCAGATGGCATAAGGAGCAAAGCTGTTACAGAATCTGGTAGTTCTGCTATAAATACTTGGAAATCTCCTTCCAGAGGGGAGCAACAGAAACAGACCATTAAGTGGGTATGTAGGGTCTCTAACCCCACCATACTATAAAAACAGTCATAAAATTGAGTCCGGTCACATTGTGTCTTAATTTACAACCACAATAACTTATGATTAAAATTCTGGTTCCAGTTGTGATTGTAAAAGAATTACCGTATTTTTCAGAGTATAAGATGCACCTTTTACCTCAAAAAAGAGGCTGAAAATGTGGGTGAGTCATATACACTGAATGCAGCATTTTTTGCCTCCTGAAACCCCGCCCCTTCACCAAAATGGCCATGCATAGCTTGTAGGAGGCTTTTAGAGAGCTCCTAGGGGCTGGGGAGGGCAGAAATGAGCAAAAAACGGTCTGGTTTTTGCTCAGTTTTGCCCCCCCCCCAGCCCCCAGGAGCGATAAGTTTCCTAATGACCTTTTTTTGACCAAAAATGGACCCGCTTTCGTGAAAAATGGACTGTTTTTTGCTCATTGGGGGGGGGGGCAGGGACACTCTACAAGCCTCCTAAGGGCTATTCATGCCCTTTTTGGGGGGAGGTGGGCCCATTTTTGCAAAAAATGGGCCATTTTGAAGAGGTTTGCAGAGTGCAAAAACTTTTTTTTAAAATTTGCCTCTTCAAAACCTTGCTGTGTCTTATACTCCAGTGCATCTTATACTACAAAAAATATGGTACCTATACACTAAAATGAATATAAAACACATCTAATGTAATACATTTTACCATTACAGGTGGTATTTAATATTTAAGAAGGTTGAGTCCATTTTTGTTTTACAAAAACTGTATTTGGCTATGTGATTTTATGAATTAAATAGCTTTTAAGTGATTGGAAATACTATTTTGGAGGTATTCCCCCATCGCGTGGAACGTAGTACTGGAATATTTTGAATATTTTTATACTAATAGATGATATATTCTTTACAACTATCATAAAAACAGTTGGTAGTCCATTCACATGGTGTCTCAATTTACAACCACTTGATTATACCTTAATTCTAACTATAACATATTTTAACACATTATTCAGTCGTTAAATACTACTGAAATCAATTTCATAGAACATGTCTAGTACATTGAACTTTATTAAAAACATAAATTAAATAGTTTGTAACTCCTGAAACAGTTCATTCTTTAATGAGTACACAACTTTGTTTATTAAATCTTAATTCCAATTTGTAATATAGGATTAATAACTTTGGTCTAATGTACAGTGTTGTAGCAATGCTACCAATTTTGGATTTGACTTTCAAAATAATGTAGAGTTTCTTATTCTACTGGGGGAAGTAGGATTCCCATGTCTTAAGAAAATTGTGCTGTAAAATACAGGTAGTCCACAATTAATGATGACCATTTGTTTAGCGATTATTCAAAGTTATGACAGCCCTTAACAAATGATGGTTACAACTAGTCCTTGAATGTCTGGCCATCCCAGCACCCTCCTGATCATGGGATCATGATTTAGAGGATCCAATTGGCTCTTAACAAGGTTAAGTTGCAGCACCCTGAGGTCACATGATCTTATATGTGACCTTCCCTGCCTGCTTCCCATAAGCAACATCAAGCAACATAGAGAAGTTGGCAGAGAAGGTCACAACTTGCTTGGGTGAGCCTCACGAGCCTCTCTGTACTTACACCTCACCAGCGACTTGCACACTCTGACACATCCTCCCTGGGACTCTCAGCCCTCATACGGTGTGTCCTTGCCACTTGTGCACCCTTCTCCTAAGCAGCAGTAGCCACCCCAAGCCCTTCCCCACCCTTGTTGTGGCTCCCTTACCATTCATGCAACCTCTTCCAGTAGCAGCCATCCTAAGCCCAGCCACACTTTCACTATGCCTCCCTTACCACTATGCACTATGCACACACCTCTTTCCATCCAGCAGCAGCCACTTACCTGCCTGTCTGCTTGCAAGTTGCCTGGAACTTGCAATCTCTAGTCAGCCTTCTGTTCTTTTTTAAGGTTGCTGACACACAGACAAAAACCAACTACTGTAGAAGCAGGAATATTTACTGCAGTTTAGGCAGATAGTAGCAGACAAGAATGAAATTCAAATGCCCAGTAAATAATGCTTTGTCTGAAGGGAGCCAAATACAGTCAAAGAAATATCAGCATAGTCCAGAGATGTTCCAAAAGATCCAGGATGCCAAATTGGGCAATCAGCCAGTCGAAAGGCCAAGAGTCACAAGGAAGAAGCAGTAACATGATTCAAGAGCTGGATAGTCAAATGGTGGTTTCCAACAAGAATCTGCAAGCTCAGCAACTAATCAAATCTCTCTGCAACCGGCTGACTGCAATTACTCATGCTTTGCCCTTTGTTTCATTAGAAGCCTCATAGAGGATTGTTGCTTTGCTCACTTCTGTATGAGCCTAGATCTGGGACTTGGGAACAGGAGATACCTGTGACTGAACAGCCATAATTGAATCTTGGCTTAAGGTTCCTGAGTCTGGCAGTTCTGAAGCACAGGCCAGATGGAGCAATATTATCAGATTCATGGTCGGAGTCAGACTCTGAATTGTGGCCAATAGCACTTCCCACTGACTTTGGTTGTTGTAAGCCAGCAGGGAGTTACAAGGAGCTGGTCACTTAAGGACCTATGATCCTCCCTTAATGATGGCAGCGTGAACTGCCATCATATGACATTATATTTCATTATCACATCGCCTAGTGAACCAATTGCCATTGTAACTCGAGGACATTTCATTGCCATAATGAAATGATAGTACTTTATTCGATGCAACATACACTTACAAAACTAGAGTTTCACTCCAATTCTTTTGTCTCATTGCCTATAAGGATCTCTAAAGCAGAGTTTTTTTTCCTAACATTCAGGTCTCTGAAATAAAAACTAAAATAGTTTTAATCTTATGAGAATGAATTGATTTGGCTATTTAACACATAAGAAAAATGTTTCATACTTGAGCTTTTAAAATGTAGTCATTTTACATCTATTAATTTCTCCTCCTGATCTTGCAAAAGTTTTTCAAGATCTGGTAAACTGGTAATAGCTGCATTTCGTATTCATATCTTATATGAATACAGAAATATTTTAAGTGCAGCCTTCAGTTTTGCTCTGTAATTAAAATGTATATAATTACGGTAACATATATAATATAGTGAGGATTGAAAAATATACTTGGTAGAGTTCTCCAAAGAAAAATGACATCTGCACCAAACTCAAGGATTATTTTTTTAAAAAAACATTTTGGTAGCCTTAATCAATAGGTCTAATCATCATCTGAACTGCTTTCAGTGAATATGAACCTCCTCTGTATTCGGCCCAAAAAATCCCATCCTGATGTTTGCTTCTGTAGTGTCCTCCTCTATACCATACTCCATTGAGATTAGAATGGGCACAAGCATTGTACCACCAACCTCCTTTATGAAAGTGGGCACAATTTCCTGCAGGGAGAAGCAAAACATTAAGATACATCACAAAACATATTCTTTGTAATTTACAAAAGTCAGCTTGTTAACAGATTTATCTCTAGTGTTTGGCCATGGACACTATTGTTACTATTGTAGAGAAGGATGGTGTTACTGAATCATCCAACTGTACTTATAAATTCCTTCTTATAATGAATACCCATTGGTTCAGATGAAGTAATTTCTATCTTAATGAGGAAAACAATTACAACAAACCTTCAAGTAATTCCCTCTTCAAATATTTGTCTCCATCATTCTCATAGTATTTAGCATAGAGGAAAGGAGAATGAGCCATTAGAATGAAAAAAAGTAGCAAGAGAAAAAAAATCAGTTGTGTCAATTAAGTAAAATAGCTTAGTGAGGTATCACAAACAAGAAATGGAATAGAACTTAACAGCTAGTGAATGTGCTGGAATAGAATTCTCCAATGCATTGTATAGGTACTAGGGGATAATGATTCCTATGTTCCATTTATTTTATAGAAGCTTATTGTCATTTTCAAATAGGGAGGAATTTATTATATCTGGTAATTATATTTTGAGAAAAGAAAGGAATGGTCCTAACAAATACATGTATATTTGTTCTATCGGCCTCTATAAGTTATTTTGCCTACTTATAGAGGACAGTTATTAGATAAAGATAGAAAATAATAGAATTATTTTTTTCATAATTCTTTAAAAGTAAAGCAAGTTTTATGATCAACTAATAAATGATCCATAAAATATCTTCAGCATTTAGGTAAAATTAAAACCATATAATATATTCTTTGGCTATTAACAGTTCCAAAGTTACTTTTGATAATTGAATTAAACTCAATATTACAAGGCACATTTCTGTATAAGCATGTGCAGTTCTTTATAAGTTCAAAGAATTAGACCAAATCTTCAGGAAAATCAGATCACCACAAAGCTTATTTTCTGTATAGTTTTATATATTGTGTTGAGTGTGATATACTTTCACAAGTCAAATCAGTTTACTACAGCTAGGTGCAATAAAATAACCAATGGCAGAATTGTTGCTTACGCATACATATAAAACAGAAAGATAGTAAATAAAATAAGATCTAAAAAATCAAGGACAGATGTAATAAAAATAAATAAAAATGTTATAAGAAGTTCCAAACTTAATGTGCATTGTACAATTAGTAGCACAAAACATGGAATTGGGAGACTTGGAATATATTTTTGAATCTCTTTCTGAAAGAAATAACATTAAGTAGAAGTAGAAACATTAAGTAGAATTTTTTTTTGAGATCCAAAAAATGGATCATATTTACAGATCATATGAATCTTTTGCTTTTTTCACATAGTCAGAACAGATACTTTCCCATGAGAAAAAAGCTTTTCCACTCAGTATTTACCTTCTTCAGTGTAAATCCTAACTCTAAGCATATGGTTTTGTCATTGCCAAAAGTAAGATGCAAGTTACTTGAACATGCCTATGGATCATTCTAATTGAAGATATTTTTATGTTAGAGTATTATTTGGCAAAGTCTTCTATCTTCCCAGTGTTTCATCAAATTATTTCCTCAGCTTAGCAAAAATAAGAAGCATGTAGATCTAAATTCTTACCTGTGTGCATATCTCTGTCTCTGTCCAGTGTTGTAAATTGTTTTCCATTGTGCCATATCATGGAATCACCAGCATTCCCTTGATATGTGCCTAAACGTAGTCGATAATATTCACTCTCTGGCTCCAATCGAAAACTGCTGTATTCTGCATAGACTTTCTTATTACTCCAATCTTCTAATTCAATCAGAAGTCTGTAATTATCCTGATTGGAGAGCAAGTAAATATTTTCCAGTCCTAGCCAGTATTCCCCAGCAACATTGCCAAACCCTTTCTGTAAACAAAGCAGAAAGTTGATTAAATTGCTTTCCTTTTGTCATATAGAAGGTTTTAATATATAATCAATACATGATGGTTATATCTTTGATGCTCTAAAAGTATTGGATAAATCCAATAATTGATTCACCTTTGACCATAAATACTGATTTGTGGAAAGTTCACAGATAGACACATTGATTATCATCTTCTCTCCATCTCTTTGATAGAGAGGGCATGAAGATAGAGAGGGCATGAAGCATGATGCAAGTGCGAGACTTAAGTGTGGTTTCTAGAATTTTGTTTGCCACTGGATTCATTGAAGCAGTTTGCTCCCAATTTACTAACAGATACCTCAAGCTAATTAAGTGTTATGGATCCACTCAGTAACCACTGATAATGAGAAACTATAGCCTGTCCTATATACTGGTTGAGGGAGAATTCTTAGTATTGTTAATATTGTTAGAATTAGTACTAGTAAAAATATTTGTATTATATCAGTCGTGAAAAACTGATTTGATTATAATTATTTTTAATAAAAATAGATTAAAATCCGGTAAATGGGTGGGAAATTATAGTAAATAGTATATATGATTTTTGTAATTAAGCATTGGGAAGTCATGCATGAAGATAATTCACTGTGTTTGATTTATGAATGGGAAATAGTGATAAGTTCTGGTTCACTGACAATACCGCGAAGTCCTTATCCCCGCCGACATAAGCGCAAAGGGCTAATCCGCGCCGTCAGAAGTGCTAAACGAAATGCGACCCTACCGCGCCGACATAAGCGCGGAGGGCAAATCCGCGCCTTCCCAAGCGATCAGCAAAATGCGACCCTAAACCTAACCCTAAACCAAAACCCTAACCCCTAAACCTAACCCCTAAACCTAACCCTAACTTTTATTTACATTTCACTGTTTCAAAACATTCAAAATACAAAAACCTTTCTTCCTTTGCGCTTTCGTCGTCGCGCTGATATCGACGTGGTAATGTGGGCGCGCTAATGATGACGCGTACTTGTCGGCGCTTATTTGTCGCCGCTATTTAGACGAGCGCGGTTTTGTCGGGCCACGATAAATTATTAATTAATGAAGATAAATTTGAATATGAAAGATGATCCAGCCAGTATTTTTACTTTGCTCTTTCTTTTTCTTGTAGCCAATCCATTTCTTAGAAGCATTTCTTAGCACACTATGTTCCAAATAAATTGATTATCTTTTGTAGTATCTTCACAACTTACCCTTTGACCTCCCATGGCTAATGTGTATATGCTATCAACATTTTTTACATTACCTTTTGATAGCAAACTGCAAAGTCCTTCTTAGAAGAATATTTTTTTTCATTGTAGGGAGAAGAGGCAACGCCTCATTAAGATGCTTGCAACGTTTTCACAATGTCATTTAAACAATTAGATGTAGACCAGGGGTGTCGAACTCGATTTCATTGAGGGCTGGATTAGCATTGTGGTTGTCCTCTGGGGACCAGGGAGGAGGAGTGTGGCTGGGGTGGGTGTGGCCTGGGAAATGGCCAGTTAGATGTCACTCATGTTGGTGGTGCTTGTGGGGGCCAGGAAGGAAATCCAGGGAACTCTGGTGAGTGGGGTGGAGGCCCATTCCGTGGGATGAGGTGAGGTGAGATGGGGCAGGGCAGCTACAACTGGTGTGCCTTCAGCTGCTTTCGGTGCTGCTCAATTTCCAACCCCACCCCCGCCAGGCTGGTCTGGTCTGGTGGAGGGGATTGCCTGCCAACCTTCTCCACTGTGGCATGAACGGGGATTGACCATCCCCCAAACCCTGCCGCTGTCTTCCAACTTCTCACGAAAAAAAAAAGATCTTGAGCCAAGGTGGTGCAGTGGTTAAATGCAGCACTGCAGGCTACTGCTAGATCAGCAGTTCAGCGGTTCAAATCTCA